GAGGTCCTTTGGGCTTTGAACTCAATGAGGTGAAATGGGTAAAGTTCAATAGGCCAGCTGTGAGCATGGAGACAGGAAAGACATATACACGGCAGTGAGCACCCATGAAGCACCAAGATGAGCTTGGTGCTGCTGTTCACACGTCACACACAGTCCTGGCACCATGCATGACATTTGGTGCAGGTAAGCTTAAGCGCCTTCAACAGGGGCCCAAAACCTTCGTTGTGGGGGCCACGTTTTCTGTGCCTGGCCCCATGTCACCTTGCTGGCACCAGCGCCACCTCACACCTCCCCATCCACATTAGGCACCTGCTGCTCCTTGGATGGATCCTGCCTCTTCTGTCCTACTCTTGCTGGAATTCCCATTGCCCACTCCTCAATCTACCAGCCTTCTCCTTATCCTTCAAACAGCTGCTCAAACTCCACCTGTTCCACGAAGATGTACCTAGTAGCCCTCAATATGACAGCTGCTACTTGCCCCTCTACTGTAGGACCTTTCATTTTTCCTTATGTATTAGACACTTGACGTTTGAGAATTCAGAAAAAGCTCTGAGGAACACCCAAATTTGCACAAATCACTGAAATGTACATATGCCCCATCAAAATGTATATGCTGTAAGGCAATCAGACACCACAGAAGAGGTCGCAAGTTTTATTTACCCCTCACTCCTGATAGCACCTTGACAGGCAGGATTCAAATTTACGCCTTAGCAAATTATACTCCACAATAACCAAAGACATGAGTGTTGCAGATGAGCCTGGCACAGTCAAATTTATTAGACTACAAAACCATCTGCTAAAAACAATCTACTCTTATCAGATTATAAATTCCTTGAGAAAAGGAACTTGAACCCTGTCAACATATTTATCCCTGAAACTTTCAGAGCATCCCACATTCAATTAAGGTGTTTTAGAAAGAGAAAAAAAGAATAAAATCTGGACAAGAAAAATTTAGAGTGGACTAGGTTTGCCTGATCAGTTTTTTAAGAGTATTATTTTTGGCCGGGCGCAGTGGCTCAAGCCTGTAATCCCAGCACTTTGGGAGGCCGAGACGGGTGGATCACGAGGTCAGGAGATCAAGACCATCCTGGCTAACACGGTGAAACCCCGTCTCTACTAAAAAATACAAAAAAACTAGCCGGGCAAGGTGGTGGGCGCCTGTAGTCCCAGTTACTTGGGAGGCTGAGGCAGGAGAATGGCGTAAACCCAGGAGGCGGAGCTTGCAGTGAGCTGAGATCCGGCCACTGCGCTCCAGCCTGGGTGACAGAGCGAGACTCCGTCTCAAAAAAAAAAAAAGTATTATTTTAAAAATGGTCCAACACGGCCCTGGAGGGTCCTGCCAAGACACACTTGCAAGGGGGTGGCGCTCACACATGAAGAGTTATGGGGGAAATGGGGGCTTTGCAGAAGGCATCCCTGCTGAGGGGCTTCCTCAGGGAACTCATCTGGCTTCAGGAAAGCAAACCTATGGGGCCATTCACTGCTCCTGACACGCTGGAGTAACTAAATCGCAACAATCCAAGTAGAGCCAGGCCAGCTGAACCGGGTAAGGCAGAAAAACAAGTCTGATGGCATCCCCTTTGGACTACTTCTACCCATCTGAACAGGCAAAGCAAAAATAAGTTACCTTCTTAGAGAAAACTAAAGCATACTCTAAACTAGAAAACAGTGTGTGGCAGTAACACAGCTATTCATTCATTCATTCAACCAAACCTTTGCTGAGAGATACTCTGATACTAAACATAAGGCAATGGAGAGATGCATATTATTTGATCATTAGGAAATGTGATAAAGAATTTCCATTTTCTTTTTAAGTGAACAATGGCAAAGGCAGCCAGCACGTGCGTCTGGGAAAGTCCTCAGCAGGTCTTCCCAACTCCCCGCCCAGCTCTAAATTGGAAGCATGGTAAGTGTGCTACACACAGCAGCTTCAACCACCTCTCCTGCCACGCCCGACTACCACTCGAAATGCCTTCTACACAGAAGTTATGAATTGGCCTCTGCTTATTAAGAGGGGAAAAAATTAACCACGAAACCAAAATTAACCATGTTTTACAAACCAAACTCCCTCTGTCATCCTCCCCCATTTGGTTCCTCAGGGCCCACTAACAGACGTATTTGTTCCTTCAAATATTTTTAAACAGACAAGCATTTACTCTTCTGGGGTGGCGTTCATAAAACTGTCATCATGCCATGCCTCGCCTATTGTTCAGTAACTTGCTCTTCCTTTTTCTCAATGTATTTACAGGTGCTTCTGCATCACCCAAAGCAGTCAAATGAAAACCACTGTGGTGTCTCTAATAGGTTTACTATGTTCTTACGGATTTCGGATTTCGGTTACTACTGTCTACAAATTTATCTTCTGCTGGTAACGTCCTTCTAAAGTACTACTATTTTTCTTTCATTTATTCTTGACTTGCCTCTCCTACTCTATACTTAATATGGCAAAAACTTCCCTATGTGTCATTAATTCTTTGAGTTTCAGAAACACGGTTTTGGTTTTGACATCCTATTGTCACAGTATTTGCTCTGATTAATCTTATCAGCCTCACTCTTTACCTCACAAGTCAAAGCCTACAGAGCAATTTCTTCTTCACATAACAAGTCCAAACCATTCCAGATCATTCATCAACAAAAATAATTACCTTCATGAACAGTATCTATTTTCTATGGAATGCTAACAGGACCATATATGCATTATGTGTATTGCAAAAAAACACTTTCTCCTGCTGACATCCAAGCCAACATGCTGTTTGAGAGGGAGGAAAAAGCTAGCTTAAAGAACTGGCCTCATAATTATCATAATTACCTTTCTACATGTTTGCTGTTTTCAAACTCAAGCACATTAAGTATTTGGCGTTAAATTAGATGGCCAGATTCAGCCTATTCCCAAGGGCTTCCTTACCTTGTGCTCTTTTCTAACCTAAGCATGAGTTTAGAGAAAAAAGAGCCATGAGAAATGGGGTGTGGGGGGAAAGGTGGCGGTGTCCTTGCCACTGCTCCCTCGGGTGAGTTAATGAGGCCCCCTCTTGGGAAGTGCATCAGTCCAGGGATGTGGAATTATGCTTGACCCAAGGGATACAAGGAATGTGGGGAAGCTTTCAACAGCTACATTTAAACCGCCAACATTTCATGGTTTGTAGAAGTTTTTGGACAATTCAAAAACACGATTATTCATGATTTCATTCCCACAATGTCTGTCCTCTCAATCCCTCTTCACCACTGGCTCCCTCCTCTTCATTCCTGCACTGTATTCTTTCTCCGGCAATTATCTTCTTGGACTAAAACAACATTGTTAAGAAGCATAAATAATAACAAAATGATCATTCCTGAAGCACTTTGTATATGTCACCTTTGGAGAACTCAAAAAATAAAATTAGAACCAAAGCACGGTGTATGAAAATTTAAAATTACTGGGCCATTCAGAGTCTTTCTTTTTTTTTGGTTTTTTGAGATGGAGTCTTGCTCTGTTGCCCAGGCTTAAGTGCAGTGGCGTGATCTTGGCTTACTACAACCTCCGCCTCTCAGGTTCAAGTGATTCTCCTGCCTCAGTCTCCTGAGTAACTGGGATTACAAGCATGTGCCAGCATGCCAGGCTTTTTTTCTTTTGAGACGGAGTCTCTCACTCTGTCACCTAGGCTGGAGTGCAATGGTGCGATCTTGGCTCACTGCAACTTCCGACTCCCAGGTTCAAGCGATTCTCCTGCCTCAGCCTTCCAAATAGCTGGGATTATAGTCACGTGCCACCAGACCAGGCTAATTTTTGTATTTTTAGTAGAGACGGGGTTTCACAATGTTGGGCAGGCTGGTCTCGAACTCCTGACCTCAGGTGATCCACCACCCTCAGCCTCCCAAAGTGCTGAGATTACAGGTATTAGCTACCTCACCTGGCCTAATTTTTGTATTTTTAATACAGACAGGGTTTCGCCATGTTGGCCAGGTTGGCCTCAAACTCCTAGTGTCAAGCGATCTGCCCATCTCGGCCTTCCAAAGTGCTGGGATTACAGGCGTGAGCCACCATGCCTGGCCCATTCAGTGTCTTTTGAACTTACCAGACTCACGTGAAGTGAAGAATGATGACAATGACGGTGAATGACATACAGAGAATCTCATTCTCAACGGAACACAGGGCGACTCTCCAAACTCCCAGCCCATTCAGCAGAAAACTCACTCACCTTCACGTGCCACTCAGGAGATGGAAACCTGAGACAGTGAGAGTGGCTCTCTGCAGGCTTATCACGGCAGCTCCCAGCCAACTTCCTGAGGCCATGGGCTGCCCTGCATTCTCCAGGATTCCTCCTCCCCAGAGGGGACACCCCATTCATTCCCTTGTCTTTCCCTCTATTAGGGGGCAAGGACACGGCTATTATCTTATTTATCCCTAAAGCTATGTCATATTTTACTCCCATAGCTTTAATCCTTAAAACTCTTATTCTGTCATAAAGAAGCAAATCAATGGGGAACTGGACTTACTCTTACTTTTGTTTCTTTAAAACAAAAGAGATGTCAACTGCTTAGAAATGAGTAGTCATAAAAGTCTACTTTTCATCAACGAGATAACTAATTATAATGTACTTACTGTGCACCAGGGACTGCACTATCTACCAAGTTGGAAGTGAAGCATGACCACCTCACTGTTTAAGTAGTTGGAAAACATACAAGTGTAAACTAAATTGTAACAATACACTGCGGGAGCACACCAGCATTATTGCCACAAATCAATATAAATAAGAATGATCTGTTTCTAGAAGAAAACTCAAGACACTTCCCAGTGTAGGCCTCACATCCTCTCCTGGGTTCAGCGCACAGGAGCTACTGGCTGACAGCAGCCTGAACACGCGTTCTTAAGCCCAGTTTTCACTTATAGTCAACAAAAAAGCTCCTCTCCTTATCTTCTAGTCATCACTCCTTAGACACAGATCTTCCCAATATGATGAAGTATCCAAACTCTACTCAACGAAAGCCATTTCCCATGCGGAAGGGCACGAGGTGAAACTGACCTGTTGAACGTCCTGCTGGAAAACACACAGCTGCAGCCTCTGATGCAGCCGGACCTTGCGGTGTTGCCAGATGTTCTCAAGCTGCCGCTGGTGGTGCAGCACCTCGTGGATGACATCCAGGACATGGTGCACGGCCTTGGAGTAGTTGGCAGACGCCGTCAGGGAATCGGAGCTGCCAGGAGTCAAGGGCCGCTGGAGCTTGTCAAGGAGCGACTTCCCATCTTGGCTCACCTGCCCACAAAATACATGAGTGATTCTTCAAGATCTGAGGTTTGGCCTAGGCTGTGCCACAGATGCTGTCCTTGGATACGTGTGTGTACCTATAGGCACACACGTACATGTACACACATTACACACACACCCATTCACACCACAGTTTTACTCAGAGGCAGTTTTATATAGGATAAAATTTAAAACAATCCACCAGTTAGCCAATGACATCACAAAGCCAATTGATGCAAAACACTAGGTGAAAATAAAAGAACATTAATTACAACAAAACACTGCAGTAGATACTACTCAATGAATAGGCATACTATTTGCCTTAAATGCCATAAATCAACTAACAGAAACTGCATTCCTGGGATATCTGCAAATTAAAATTTAAAAGTAATAATTTTATCTTGAGACATGTTAGAGAGAATACAACAGATCATCACAATGGAACAAAATTGTTCCTTAAAGCCTCAGTTAAAAAAAAAATCTAGTACTAGCACTAGATTGCTAGTACTAGGCAAAGAATATGTACTTAAACTTTCTGACATAGCTGGAGAGCAATTTAACATCACAAAAGAAAATGTAAAATGCCATTCTATTTGACTCATTAACTTTAAAAAGCAGTTTTAATTAAAATGCCATCATTTAAAGAAAAGATTTCAGTGCTACATTAAGGCAATTTATTCTCAAACTACAATTAAATGAAAGCATTCGGGTTAATCAAAGAAATAACAAAAGGTGAGGGTGCAATTTAGAAAGAAAGCATTGTGTTTTTCCTATTTATGTGACTCATAAGACTTATGAGTAATTAATTATGCCAGATGTTCTTGGGAAAAAAAAAAGTGACAATCAGACAACACAAAGTGTGTGTGATGCATAAGGTAACCAGGTGTGGGATGCAGGTGTCTTAAGTAGGGCCTCTTCACATGATCCTTCTGCTTAGATACTTCTGAATCTAAAAACCTCCTTGGGTTTCTAGTAAGAAGAGGAGCAGGCCAGGTGCAGTGGCTCACGCCTGTAATCCCAGCACTTTGGGAGGCCGAGGCGGGCAGATCATGAGGTCAAGTGATTGAGACCATCCTGGCCAACATGATGAAACTCCTTCTCTACTAAAAATACAAAAATTAGCTGGGCATGATGGTGGGCACCTGTAGTCCCAGCTATTCATGAGGCTGAGGCAGGAGAATGGCTTGACCCCGGGAGGTGGAAGTTGCAGTGAGACAAGATCGTGCCACTGCACTCCAGCCTGGGCGACAGAGTGAGACTCCATCTCCAAAAAAAAGAAGAGGAGCAAGTTTAGGGGCACTTTTAACAGACATAAGCCCAGTTTAGAGAAGCCCTTAGGATAAAAAAGAGCACACAGGGAAGAGGTTAATGGGAAAAGCTAAAACTGAGAGCCTTTACAACCAAAACCTGGTGGCAAATGACCCTGCAGAATTTCCTAATCACTTCCTTTAATCCTCTTCTAACTGCAGTTGTGCCAGATTGTAACACATTTACTTTTCAATACCTGAATCTGAGACGTTGGAAGTGTTGATTATTCCTCACTAGGGTTTAAAATTCACTTAATACAGCCTTACAGCAAAACTTAAGAGGAAATAAGCTCAGCTGACAAAACCAAAGATAACAAGGGAAAAACTAACCACATTAACTGCTGAATTAGTGTCAGTTAAAACAAAAATGGAAAATGTAAAGAGTCTTCTAAAGCAGGGTTCTCACTTGTGCCCAGAAGTCACTGAAATTGGTGCGGACATTGTTGATGTAATGGTTTTGAAGAGAGGAGGCACCAGGATTGATTTGGGTGGTGGATTCAGAGAAGCAGGGTACTCTGAAATGAGCAGGATATTAGCACACGGTGAAGAAATGTCCTGCTTTTTGTGATCATCTAAGCAAGGCTCTTTTTAACACACAAATACACGGTTTTTCTCTTTTTGCTCAGTGTTAACATCACTGATCTTTCCACAAATCCAACAATCATGTTAATCAAAGAAAGACAGTGTTTGGTTTTCTTTGGAACTTTACAGGAGATGTTTTCCCTTTCAAAATATCACATGACCACAATAAAACCATTCTCAATCCTTGCATCACCAAGAGGCCACATGACCAGGCTACAGTTATAGTTGCTATATTCACAATGGTTTTATATACATGACCAGCATCTGAATATCTAATTTTTTCACCTACAATAGATGCATTTAGGCATTTATAGACTGAAAAACATTTTATCATAAGTCACCTTTTGTCTCCAACTTACATTGTAGCATGTAATTTTTATGTACACATATAAATTATACGCAAAGGTAGATTAAAGTATGTATGCATTTTATTTCAGGATCATAAAGCAGGTGTCATAAAATTTGTGTGATATAATTGGAGTGCTGCAGCTCTCAGAACTGAGAGCTACTGCTCTAAGTCATACATTTCACATTGTGTCGACCTTGAAAAGAATTCCTTACAAATGTTTCCTCTACATTTTACTCCTTGCAATACTGTCGGAAAATGTACACCAGAACGTATGATTTGTTGAACTGTGCCAGAAACTGACAGCTGTTCCCCAAAATCCACTTGCCCCTCCCAGATAGTCAAACCCCTACAGTCAGAAACAGCAACACTCCAGCTATAACGCCACATTTCCCAGCCTTGGTTACATATATGAGTGGCCAATATACAAAAGTAAAAAATATTGAATGGGATTCCAGGAAAGCTGTTTAGAGGCTAAGCTGGCAGGTACGCTCATTCCCCTTGTCCCTTCCTCCTCCTTGCTGCCAAGAACTTGAATGAGATGGCTGGAGCTTCAGCAGTTATTGATGACTCTGGGGCAATCTTAAAAACAGTAGCCTACCTGTTAAAAAAGGCAACACAGGAAGACAGAAGGATCCAGAGATCCTCTTACGAATAGAGCTACCACACTAGCCCTGGAATGACAGCCTTTGGATTTCTTTTACACGGAGAGAAAGCCAATTTCTATCTTCAGCCATTGTTTTGCAACTTAAACCACCAAATGCAAAAGGACAAGATGAGTTCCCAGCCCTCACCAAGTTTCCAAAACGCATCCCTGTGACACCATTAATATTCTTCAACTGAGAATGGAGTACTCTGAGCAACAATATTCCATGGAATCTTTCTTTCCTCGAGTGTCTCTGCACTTGTTCAACAGATCTCCACGGCAGAGATCGTGACAGGATTTCAAAGGACATACTTGCCCATGGCGGTGGAGGGCAGTGGAAAATGTCTATACACAAATACCTTAACATACAACAACTCATCAGGCAAAGCTCCACCATCTGAGAACTCATAAGCGGGGATGAAAGTGTCTGTTGGTCCCGCCACTGGTACTGTCATTTGTTGGTAGTGACAGTGGCAGTAAAGATCCCGGGCGAGAAAACACCTCTTGTACCCACTAAAACCAGACAGCATGGAACTCCACGTTTTAAAAAATAGCATTTCTCCAATAAACCTTTCCAAACATGATTCTATATTATTTCAGTACAGGTTTTGTAGACCTGGCAATTAAAAAGTACTATTTAAACACATAAAGGATGGCATATACAGTTTCATTTTTGGCAAAATGTCTTAGTCTTTGTAATTACAGTAATATGTGGAAAAATATGCTACAATTTTATGAAGACTGCTGTTCTCTTGTATAGAGATAATAATTTTTATACGGCACAGAATGACCAGGAGAAAATTAATGAAAGAAGAGACTGCATAGAGCAGACAAAAAATTCACATAAAATGTAAGTGCTAAAACAAGTAACGTAAGTTTATGGCATGTGGTGTACTTCTACAGTTTCTTAACTACAGAACCAGGTGAATGAATTTACTTCAGTTATACATTTTGTTTAAAACTCTGTTTTTAGCTTCCAGGCACTGAAACTCTGAGCCACAAAGAGACAACAGCTGCAAAAAGAAAATCAACCTTATCAAATAGCAGGACTTTCCTATAATAATTTTTTAACCAATCAGATCAGCTCATTTTTCAGTCTGCTCTTTGTTTTTCTTGGAATACACAGCTGGGGAACTTGAAGGGCAATCAAAGTTATATGTTACAAAGATTAACATTTAATAAAGAGAGAAACTAAAATACTCTGATATCCAAATGAGTTCAGAAAAATGCAAGTACTAACTAAAGCAAAAAAAGTAATTAAAGGTAAGTTTAAAATTTTACCATATCAAAGGTACGCTTGTTTCTAATATTTAAAAAGAAGTGTAACTGTATAAACAATGGCCTGGTTGTTGAATATCTACTGTTCATCAGACTGCACATAGACTTGTAACTTGGATTTCTGCATGTCACCCTTAAAAAGAGCCATAAAACTTCAGAGATTTGCCTATTCTTGCTTCTGGTACTGGGATCTCTACATTTCCTATAAAATCAGATGAGGGCTGAGCATTTCCGGCAGGAATATGCTTCACCTGCACCAGGGATGAACATGGCTCTGACCTAAGGAAAGACAGCAGCATCTAGACATTCTTGCTTACCACTGCAAAAGCAACAACTGCCCAAAGACCAAATGAAGATGAGTGACAGGCATATCAATTAAGTCCAAACGCAGTGTTTTAGATCTAAAACGTGCTAGAAAATGGCATTCCCAAGATACAACAAAAATAGGCAAAATACACCAAGACATTTAGCCTGTAATAAAGAAAAAGTGTTCCTTCAAAACTTTTATGAAATGAATTGCACTATTTCTGCTGACTCAAAGCCAACACTGTTTTAATTCTTTCTCAGGCTTAGCTCACCATGGCCTGCAGAGCACAGACCTCCACAGGAAGCCTGGGAATGATTTCACTCTCCTCTCCAACTCTTGCTGAACTTATTCTCATATCAAGGTTCTAATAAAGCAGAAAAGAATGAAAAGGGGTCAGCAGGTGACGACCCAGCTTATTCTGCAGCAATAGTTGACATTCCTTGGCCAAACAGTTGAACTCTTCTGAGTAAGGAGGTTCCAATCTGTCTTCAGATGGCTACATAAGAGGCTCCTACCAACAGTGCAGGTCAATTACCTCCTGAA